GTGGGTTTAGGCGGGGGGCGCCAGCCTCAGGATGGGGAGGGGCGGTTGGGATATGGCGGGGGGGAAATCCCTCCCCTCCCCTGGCCATAGAGACACCTCTGACCTCGCTTTCTAATTCCTGCTTCGTTTCTCATTTCTCCTCAGGAGAAGCTGGCAAATAAGAAAAAGCGGAAGAAGGAGAGAGAGGTGCTGGGAGACCAGGTGAGTGGTGGCGGTTTGCAGCCCTCCTGGGGACTCCTTCACCACACCCTAGCGGTGCTGAGCACCTTACTGCCGCCACCGCTGCTGCCTCGTGCAGGGTTAAAGAAGCAACACAGCACCCAGGGGCTGCCGTGGCCTGTAATCGGCACGCCTTTCCCTCCCCGCTCGGGGGGTTTGGAGTTGTTGGCCTGCCCAGACTGGTAGGGTGCGAACATTTCCAGACGCAGCATGGTGTTAGTGGTGTTGTCACATGGTTGAGGCATCCTTTAAATAGCGTTGGGCCTATGGTATTATTTGAAGCTGGTGATTTTTCAGTCGATTTGTAAACTTTTGAAAAACTGGATATGTTTATTTCTTTTTCTGCATGAATACAGTGGCTCTCTTAGGCAGCAGGCTTGTGACGCAGTTGCTATAACAGTCTTTGCTGCAGACAGCGGCATTGTGAGTAACCCTGAATAAAACAAGTATAACACAATCACTTATGTGAACTATGAATGCAAGCTACCTGTTGCTAAAACCTAGTGACTTTTTTTTCCCCTGCTTCTGGATGCTTAGTGGCAGCTGGAGAAGAACAGTTGCTGGGTTTTTTTGTCTCTAGCTGCTACCGAGCTGCAGTAGACAGTCTGTTTCATGAATGAGTTTAATGCTACGCAAACTTGCAGCAGGACTGTGGTGCTGTTCTTTTAAAACAGGAGTATTAAACTCATCTGGCCTTGCAGGACAAATAATGGCTCAGGGCCAGCCCTGTGGACCAGATTAGGCTCATGGACCCCACCAGCGTATCGATGCAGCGCACACAGTGCCTGGTCCAAGGCAAGTGCCATGTGCAGCATAGGTGCCAGACAGGCACAGCTTGCAGCCAGAGGGAGCACTGGATCTGGCAAGTGGGAGACCCGTGGACCCCCACCTCTCGCATTTTGTTTTCAAAAGGAGACTGGACAGATATTTGGCTGGAGTGATATGATCGTGGCACCCATTCCTGCCTGGGGCAGGGGGTTGGACCTGATGATCTGTTTAGGTCCCTCCTGACCCTAAGCACTATGGAACTATGTTGGATCCAGCACTCACTCTGGCTGGTCTGGGACTGCATTGCAAATGGTAGTCTAGCCAATCTAGGACCTGTACTTCACACGCCTTGGCCAGGAGTGGCCAGAGCTGGTACTGTAGGCAACATAGTACCATACTGGCTGCAGGGCTGGTCCAGCACATGCTGCATGGATCAACTTCAAAACCCATGGGGCTCCATGGGCCAGATCATTTACCTCCATTTTAAAGCCATAGACAGAAGTTTGAAGGTAATAGTGGGAAAGAAATGAGGCTGAAACATGAATAATAAAGCATAGTAATTGAAAACAACTTCATAGGAACTTTAGAGCCCTCTTTCATTCTTGGCATAAAATGAATTGGGTTGAATAGTATGGCAGTGTTTTGTAGTTTGTGTGTTTGGGGGTTGTTTTCAATTGTTTTTAGTATCAGACTCATCATACCTGTTCATGATGAGGGGGTTGGTATCGCTGGTACTGGTTGTGTAAAGATAGCTTTGCTTTCAGTGTTTTAAAAGTTATTGCCAAAAATTGACTTAGTCTCTCAGGAGATTGATACTCAGCCAAGCAATATGCTCAACGCTACAATGTGAAAATGTCTTGCATTTCGTGTTTAAAAAGGAATCGTGTTAATGTGTTACATTACTAATAAACAAATGTATATTTATTTAAGGCACCACCAAAGCCTGTGCCAAAGACAATTGAAAACCAAAGAGTTTATGATGAAACAACTGTGGATCCTAATGATGAAGAGGTAACTTTTAACTATGTAGTTTCATGTGTTAAGAAATTGTACTTCCCTCCAAAATATCTGCTAATTAGTCTGATTAAAGTCTGTTTCTGTTCTCATGGTATACATGGATTGATAGTCATGCAGATGATAACTTTTTGCTGCTTAATGATTATTTTTAGAAAAAACTTCTTTCTCATTGTATTGTATGTCTGTTTAAAAACCCAGATTCAGAATAGAACTAATGGGGTAGATACCTACAAGTTCTGGCTTAAAAATGTTATAGTTGCAGTTTTGCCATTGACCTTAATGGAACCAGAATTTACGTTGACATGAACAATTTTTTTCTAGAAATAAAATGGAATGAATTAAAGCACTTTATTTTTCTAGGTTGCTTTCGATGAAGCCACAGATGAATTTGCACCTTACTTCAATAGACAGACAGTTCCCAAGATTCTTATCACAACATCAGACAGACCTCGAGGGGTAAATACACTTATGAAGCTTGTAATTTTTTCCTGTTTCTCTAATTTCCTTAAATTATTTAAGGGGGTCTCTATGATCCAGGTTACTGTTCATGGGATAGAGAGGCTTTCATATCCTATTTAATGAGAACTTGGATCCAGTGACCTAAGCCAACATATTTTTGTTGGTAGTCTCCACAGAGGGGCAAAAGACTGAATGAGCAAGGAAAAGTCTTCCTTCTAGACTAAGTGGTTCCTCTGAGGCAGGGTGGAAGAACAGTGTGGTGCCACTGTTTAAGCTTAATTTTCTTTGTGACAAGTAGAGGGAGTTAGTTGCTGGGGCTTAAAATGTAACAAAGCCTCCTCCTACCCACACAGTGTTAAAGTGATACCATCACGTTGGAAGTAGCAACTCCTATCGGGGTTTCTTTCAGTTATTTTATTTTATGAACTTGTTGGCTCTCCATTGGTTGCCTCTCTGACCCTAGTCTTGCAACAGGATCTTCATGGGCAGACCCTTGTGCCAATACAGTTCACCTGGCATGGGCTGGGGCCATTCATGATTTTCACAGTGACAAGAGCACTTTTTTAAATATCACAGTCTGGATTATGAAACCCTAAACTGTGTAAGGGATTTGGGGACAGGTGTTATACTAGAAAAAAATACTTTTCAGTGCTTTAATTGACTCAATTTTTAGTCTAGTATCCCTTTAATACTTTTCATATTAATAGTGAATAATAGCATTACTGCTTTTATGATTGGTAATAAAATGAACAGTTCTCCTCCAAAAGGAGGAAGCTGCCCTCCTTGCTTCCAAAAATGTATGTGCATAGATAAAAGATGGACAGTATTATTCAAACCTATAATGCAGCAGAATATCAGGTGAAAGTTCTTGCTTGCTCTGTTTGGGTGCCATGTTCAATTTGTAATGTTCTACTTGGAGCTAAGGTGGATCACTGAGGAAGAAATGTTTTATCCTTTTAAAAAAACTAGTAGTCAAAAAGGGAGGCATTTGCAGGAGTAACCATTTTTACATCTTTTTGGTTTGTTCTCTATTTGAAAGATTGCAATCTAATCTTTCTGTTTTGCAGAGAACAGTAAGATTCTGTGAACAGCTGTCTTCCATTGTACCCAACTCACATGTTTACTATCGAAGAGGACTTGCTTTGAAAAAAATTATCCCACAGTGTATTGCAAGAAACTTCACGGACCTAATAGTTGTTAATGAAGATCGCAAAATACCCAGTATCCTTCATAAACTAGAAGCAGTTTCTTCAAGTAGTAGGCTCTGGTAGCTGTATATGACTATGTTGGCACCAGAAAATGTAAGGAGAAATGTATCTGGCTAAATAGTGTGCTAGATCTCTCCCATATTATTATATGCTCCTTTTCTCTTCATTTCATCATGGCTGTAAGTTGAGGTAGTGTCATTTTGTTTGTTTTGTCCTTGGAAGTGCACAAGCCAAATATAACCTACAAAGCTATAGGTCAGCGATGCAGTTGTAACTGGCCTAGGAGCAACATGAGCAATTGCTGTTAATCTGAGAGCCACAAAATAAATATACCCCAGATAAACAGTTCAAAGGAAACAACAGTATGCACTTTGCTGTTCTGCATTATAAATAATAGTGTAGAAGACCTACCCAAGGCATGTGATTGTTTCAAAAAAAAAAAAAGACACCATAGATAATATTTGCTGCAAAGTACTACTGATAACATAAGCTTAGATAAGTGCTTCAAATTCCAGTTGTTGTAAATGCAAAGTTACAGATGTACTATTATGCTGCTCAGATTAGCTATATGCCTTGGGTTAATTGAGACACACAGAACTCAGATGCTGTTGTAAGATCTCTCATCAATCTTGGAGCTGAGATGTGGTGGCAGAACAGCTAAGGCTTCCTGCTATGGCCCCAAATAGCATGAGTTTGGGTTGCTTTGGTCTCGCGCTGGATGCCGACCCAGCTGTAGACAGGTACCTGGTCATTCAGGTTGAGGGGTCAAAAATTGTTTGAGATCCAAGCGAACATTATTGTTAACTAATGAAACCAGTGAGTAATAATGCACAAGAAAGTTTCATCAAGTTGTATTGATTGCCAGTCAGGAAGTGAACACATCTAAATAAGTTCTGGCTAGCTTTCTAATAACAGTTTAATGGTACTGCATAGTATACTAATTTTCTGTTGTGCAATTTGTTTTAAGCATGGAAAATTTTAGTAATGAACATTTATTGATGAAACCTGGTACAATACTCACCTGTGTTGCTGAGAGAGAGAGAATTGCAAACCTCTTGCCCACAAAGTATGGAGAGGGGTCTATTGGAATCAAGATGGCAGACAAGCAATTTCACAGGCCTATCACAGTGAGCCCCCCCCCCCCCCCCCCCCCCCCGCCACACCCCGTAGCAGCGGGGCACAGTACTGATTGACGGAGAGGGCCCTAGCAGCCCCACCCATCACCACTGATTGGCCAAGAGGGCTACCTTTCATGCTGCCTTGCCCTTCTGTTGATTGGTGGAGGTGGGGCAGGGCTGTATAAAAGGCAGCACTCTCAGCCAGTCAGTGGTGGAGGGAAGAGGGGGCAGCCACCATCTTGGCTGCTCCCCTTTGTGCCAGCAGCTCTTCCCCTGCCCCCACTGGGCTGCAAGGCCAGGCCACAACAGCTGCTGGCACCTGCTGGGGAACCAGCATTTTATTTTTAGAACTTTTTTTCCCAGCAACTTTTGCAGTTTCTGCAAAAATTTATGAAATTGTAATTTGAGTGGGTCCCTAAGTATGGATTATACAAATAATGTATTTCCACTGTAACACTGAATGTTCCTCTAACCAAAATTCATATTTCTTTGAAAAGTGTTTTGATATAGCATGTTTAAACTGCACATTGGATTATTTTTATCTTCATCTTAACTCGAGATGAACAGACGGTCTTGTTTTAAGTCATTTGCCTGATGGTCCAACTGCTCATTTTAAAATGAGCAGTGTTCGTCTGCGTAAAGAAATAAAGGTGAGGTTGTTTATCTCTTGGATAAAAGTGAAAATCCAGTGTATGCAGGATCCAGATTGTTTAAAGGTTTCTTCCACCACACTCACTTTTTTCTTCTTTCTCTGTGCGTACTGAGGAAGGTTCATCCTCGGTGTGTTGTTCAATTTGTTTTGTAAAGATGATGGTAATTTGCTGGGTTTTTTTAAGGCTAAGTTTTTCTTGCTATTAAAGGAGCATTCGTTTTTTCAGTTAATTATTTCTAACGTGTTCTTGCAGTCATGGTAATAACATTATATAAAACTAATTGTGTACCAATTCAAGACAACACTTCCCCAGATTGTATAGATATTATTTAGATTGCAGAGTGCTGTCACAAGGAGCAAGCCGTAATATTCCGAGTTCCCTATCGCCACAACACTTCCCATAGGATATTTATTTAGCTCATGAAACTATGGAAGAGAGTAATATAGTTATTTATTCAAGAAAGCTGCCTTTATCATTAGTATTTAAGGTCCCTACATATTACCAACTGATGGTATGTACATGATGCATATACTTCTGTGTATAACATGCACAAAAAAAAAAGGGTTTTTTGTATAGCATTTTATGAGGATGATAACATCACTTAGCTCTGACTCCCTTCCCTCTGTTTTGATGTTGGTAACTAATGCCTTTTTAAAAACACTGTATTTATTTTGTTGTTCTCTGGTAACAACTCTCATTCCAGCGAAAAGGGAAAGAGCCCACAGAACACATACCTGAAGTAATCCTGAATAATTTTACAACACGACTGGGACATTCTGTTGGTCGCATGCTTGCCTCTCTCTTTCCACACGATCCTCAGTTCATTGGAAGACAAGTTGCTACATTTCACAATCAGCGAGACTATATCTTTTTTAGATTTCACAGGTGAACTTTTCTGAAACTTTGTAAATGGCTAAGAAAGGCATTGTCAGTCCTGCAGCAGCCCATCTGACATGTTTTCCTTTGACTCTGCAGGTATATCTTCAAGAGTGAGAAGAAGGTAGGGATTCAAGAGCTTGGGCCACGTTTTACCTTGAAACTAAGGTCCATTCAAAAAGGAACCTTTGATTCCAAGTTTGGAGAGTATGAGTGGATTCACAAGGTATGTTTGACAATAGTGACACTGGGTACCTAAGCTGTACTTAAACTTTGGCATTCTGAAATGCTGCTACAAATGGTAGCCTATTATGAGGTATGGAAATGAGTTAAGTGAAATATTGAAAACTTTTTTTTTTTATCTGCAAACTAGAAATGTTCTGCTATGTCGGCAGTAAATAAAAAAAAAAAAAAAAAAAAGTAGCAAGAATAATGAATGTCGATATACTTTGATTCTTTATTAGCAAAGTGTAGTTCAAGTTCCATATACCACAGCATACTTCTATAGTCAAGTATATTTTGTAAAGTTCATTGAGACCTGACTCTTTTTTTAACTGTAGTTTGACTAGATTTTTTTTGTAAGCTGCATGTAAGAATTAATAATGAGTTTAAGTTTGATGCAAACACTTATCTCCCATATAGGAGATAAGTGTTTGCAATGGAAAGTTAAACTAACTCTTATGCAATTTTTAATAAACTGAAAATGGTAAAAAATCGTAATATTGAACCACTCTGCTACCTTTTGTACAATGGAATTATACTTCCAAGTTTAGCAAGATTAGGCAACATTAGCCACAGCTGCAGGACTGGTACTCTTGTCATCTTTTTAAACGAAGGGTATTTATCTCTTATGGGTTTGAACAATGGACCTGAACTGTTTTCCCCAGTCCCTGTTACTCGAGCTGAACCAAGGCATTTTTATGGTGGAGCAGCAATGCTATTTGAAAGACGCAACTGTTTCTTCCTTCTTACTGTTTTTACTATATTTACATATATAATAAAATGTTCAGTATAAGATCAGGTCTGCTGTTGCATTAACTAGCAAATGTTTTCTTTATATTTCAGCACCGTGAAATGGATACAAGTAGAAGAAAATTCCATCTATAATGGGAAGTGTGTTCTGGTTTTACCTGATGAATAGGAATACCAAACTGCTCTTGAACTCTTTGCACCAAATTAACAAGTTTGGAGCCCTGGATCCTGTCATCTCCAATTAATAAGCAGTGGTACTCATTACTGAGCATTATTTTTACAGGTAGACAAAAACACACTTTCAGACTTTCCTGTGAGCAGTTGAAGAAAGATGTCTTTTCAAATGAGCATAAACACTCTTATTAAGTGCTACTGCCACTTATTCAAAACTGAGAAGCTCTTCTGGAATACGAGTAGGTTGCTATATATGAATTATTGTCTTCATTGTGACTCTTGCCTAGGGTTTTAGGGCCAGTACCAGTGCAAAGTTGTAAATTCTGTAATAACAGTTTGTTTTTAGAGTAACATGGTTGGTTGTGTTGTTTTGTAAGGTGGCTAAACTCAGACTTTGCTTGCAGTTAAACAGGTAAGATATTAACACCAGTTCCTTTTTCTCTAAACCAGTTGAACTTAACCTTTTTGGCCCCGTGGCCCTTTGCCACTCACTTGGCCTAGTCCATGGGCTGGATCAGACCATGTGCTCCAGGATAAAGCCTGCACAGCCAGACTGGGCATCACACCACCCCTGCATACCAGAATTGGGCTATTGGCTTCATGCTGCACCCAGTCCTGCATCCTAGGATTAAATCCTGTACTGCCTCTAGCTAACGCCACATACCAGGCTCCACACTATCCTCTGCGCAGTACCACTGGCTGGATGACATGTTGCCAGGGGCCCAATCTAGCCCATGGGCTGGGAACTGAACACCCCTTCTCTAAACCATGCGCTTATTACCCTTACAGTACCAATATTATTCTACCAAGAAGTTTCAGGTTCAACTTAACTACAGTCAGAGAACAAAGGATTTATAGTTCTTTAGCTTAAGAAAATCAGTTAAATAGGTGATGTCCAAACACTTATGCAAATATC